TATATATATATATATATATTGGCTTCTACCTCATTCAAGGTAAGCCAATTCAATTCTTTTCACTCTATTTGGTATCAGAGCCAATGCAAAGAAACCCTAACCTTCTACTTACCTTCTTCCTCTATTGTTCTTCCTCTGTTGGCACTGTCAGCATCATCGGCAGCCCCATTTCCTCCTCCTAAGCCTTCGATAGCCCTACCCACCTCCTCTTCTTCACTTGACAGGCCCCCCTTCTTTTCTAGACCACTTGACACCCATCACCCATCCACTCTCCCCTTAGCAGGTCTTCTCCACCCTACCGAGGCTTTAGTATGTGCTGACCAGGAACTTTCCTGATGTTTGGTGCTTCGTGAACCTTTCTAAGGTGGTCTGGGCCATCTTTTTCCTTTCCTAGGGTAATATACTAAACGTATTAAGCACTGTCTCTATTTTTTTATTATTATTCAGTGGGCTACCAAGTTCGTTTGGTAGCAGTTATTTGGATACACCGTGAGTTCTTTTTTCCAGTGTCTTCAGTTTTATTTGGACTATGTTGGTTTTGATTTTTTATCTTTCTCATCACCCTCCTATTCATCGTATTACAATTGTGGTGTTGAATGGAAAAAAAATTTGCTGTATGGAGCCGCTCCCTTAAACTCTATTTAGGGGGAAAAGGGAAGGCCCATTGGCTCTTACCTACTACTACCCAACCAACGATGACCGACCCTACCCGTGCTCAGTAGGATATTGATAATTGTACTATCTTGGGATGGATGTTCAACTCCATGGAGGATCGAATTTGCCACATGTTCCATTATTGCGACATTGTTTCAATTTTATGGCGTGCCTTGTCACAAATGTATGTTCATGCCCATAATGATACTTGCATCCTTGAGCTCTATTAGGATATTGCTCTTGCCTCCCAGTTTGCCTTAAGCCTTTCTGTGTCAGAATTCTTTGGATATTTTCAGGCCCACTAAGAAGAATTGGCTCAATATACGCCATTGATTGAGTTACCTGCAGATGTTGCCTCTCTTGTATCCAAATGCCTTGCTTGCTAGCACACCTACCAATTTATGATGGGTTTAAACTCAGAGTTTGAATCTCTTCAAACTCATATTTTAAACATCGCCCATGTCATCTCTCTATGAGGCCTTTGCCACCATTGATAATGATGAACGCCATAGGCATCTGATTCAGCCGAGCCCTTCTCATGTGTCTCCGGTTTCCTCTAATCAAATAGCTTCTGTTGCAAAGTCTGGCTATCGGGGTTCTACGAGTTCGGTTACATGTCATCATTGTAGTGCTTCTGGTCATGTTAAGGCTCGTTGCTTCAAACTCCATCCTGAGTTGCGACCACGTTCTTCTTGCCCTCGTGGTATTGGCCCCCTCACACTACTATGTTAGTGGAGGCTACTCCAACGCTAAGGTCTCCTAATATCCCCAATTTATAGGAGTTACAGACTCAGATTGGTCAGCTTCAGGCTCAGCTTGGGTTCTCATGGCCCATCGTCTTCCACTGCTGCCACACTCGCTACAGATACTTCTACTGCATTACATGTTCGGTTTGCTAGTCGCTCATTGGTTCTGGATTTTGGGGCTAATGATTATATGATGGGTGAGTTTTCCTTTCTTTCTTCTCCAGTTCCTACTACTATTGCCCAATCTGTGTCTGGCTGACAGTTCTTCATCTTATGTTCGTCATAAGGGTGTTGTATCTTTATCCCCTACCATTACTTTATCGTCTGTTTTACATGTTCCAAATTTTGCCTTTAATCTCTTATCTGTTAGTCGTCTTACCAAACAATTTGATTGTGATGTCATCTTGTTACCCTATTGTCTTTTACAGGACCTAAGTTTGAAGAGAATTTTTGGCAAGGGTTATGAGCGTGATGGGCTTTACTACTTTGGAGATCCACCGGCCGAGCATTCCTCTTATTCTTTAGCTAATTTCCAGGCCTCTATTTTGCCTACTTCCATGTCTTGTGTTTTTAATATTCAAACTTTAGAATTACGGCATGCTCATATAGGTCATGTCAATTTTCAATATTTTTGTAAACTTTTTCCGTCATTTAATAAAGTTTGCATAGATTCTAAATTTCATTGTGATATATATATATATATATATGGCTTCTACCTCATTCAAGGTAAGCCAATTCAATTCTTTTCATTCTATTCCCTAAACCCCACTTTATATTGGGTTTCCCTAGGCTTTGAAGTTCTTCAAGTCCATGTTATACTCTAATTGTTTATTATTCTGTGAAGTTCAATTTAAAGTCCACAATTCAATTATGGGACCTTGAATGTTGCTTTGCTTCACCCTAATCCAAATTCAATTTTGGATGCACTAAAAATATCATATAGTCAAAAGTACATGCTAGAAGTGTAAAAGAGGAAGCAACTACGAAAATTCAGAACTATTTGGAATGGATGTCCAAATCATGTTAAGGACAGCAAAAACAATGAGGTATTTAAAACTGATCATCGAAATGATAAATTTTAATAGAAACATAATCATATGTCATGATTGCTTATATCCAAAATTACATGACTCTGTAAAAAATGAAGTTACAAATAAGAGCAGGTTAACTCACAGTTTGAGAAGCTACGCCCAGTGCAAGTTCTCGTGGTAATCCTGCTGCCACCCCTCCATCAGCCAAAGCCTCTATTGCTAAGTAAATATATGCTGGGCCGCTGCCACTGAACATTTTGAGGAGAAAGAAATATATCGTTATTCATTATAAAAAATAATTCATCCAAATAAAGGAACATTCGTACAATTCCATAAATGGGTTCGCGTGTCCACCACTGAATGGAGAAGAAGGAAAACTTCTAGCATGGACCCACAAGCCCATGTATAAAGCCCAAACAATAGCAGTGCCTATAGGCAATAGGCAAATGAAAGATGCTAGGACTTGTATGTGGGGTATTTAATTAGCATGGTTCTTAAATCATAACAAACCACATACCTCAGCCCAGTTATTGCATCAAACAGCTTCTCATCAGCTTTCCATATCTTGCCAATTGCCCCAAACAACTTAGCTATTAACTCTCCATCTTCCTCCATTGCAGCTGCTCCCAACCTCATAACTACGTGAAGGCAGACAGAAAATGAGAAAATGAAATCCGAGCTTGAGGGGGGGAGTTGGATTGCTAATTTTCTTTGAACCAAAATATAAATGTAATCTAATGAACAATTTAAGCTTTCAAGTCCAAGAAGTTGTAAACAAATCCTCAAGCTTTTGTCATAGATACATCAATGTGTGTATAACTACCGTGTTTCTGGAAGACAACAATCTTCCCATAAGAAACATTCTTCCTGCCTACAATATATAATTCAAAGATAGTATATTTGTTGTTGACGTGATGCAACTTAGTTAATGCAAGATTCACATCAAGTTGAGTCCTTTTCTTAATTACATTTCTTGTTTTCCCTCTTTTAGATATTTTTGTGTAAAATGATGGAACCTTCTCTCTCTTCATTTCCCTCTATAGTTTCTCTCTATGTCCTCTTTCTTCCTACTATATTCTTTCTTCTCTGCTTCTACTGCATCCCCACTTCTTGTCTACCCCTTCTGCTCTGGTTCTTCTCTTCTATTGCTTCTTTTGTTTCTTTTTATATCTCAATTTCTCTCTCAATATTTACTGTCATGTTTATTTGCGCATCACATGTTCGACAAAATTGTTCTGAACCATATTTTCAGATCTGGCATCCTTAACCACATTTTCACAAGAAAATGCTTTCCAAGTGTTATTGGTAACAAATCCCAATGAACCCTTCACAAAGCTGCCACATGACACTGCTTTTTTCTTTTTCTTTTTCTTTTTTTAGTGAGTACATGACTCAGCTCTTGATTAAAGTAACAATTCTGTCTAAATAGATTTCTCATCAACTTAATATGGATATAAGACACCAAATGGTGAAAGAAATTAAAAATTAGAATATACTGCATTTTAGATTCCCATTCAACTGCTATTATAGCAGAAATCAAAGACAAAGGACAGAACAGCATAAAACACATGGAAGAGCAGATATTCTCAAGAACAGACGCAGCTGAAATGAGTTTGTACCAAGGGCATCTCAAGTCATTAAAAAATTAAAAACATAAACTTCGAGAGATAAATTAGACTGAGTTAATTATACATAATGTTTTGCTTAAAATCCCACACACATAGTTACATTGCACATCCACCCAGGTCCATTGTATAATAGAGCAGCACGAAACAGAATGAGGAGTGAGGAGTTCCGTGGTACACTGGTGAATCAAGAGCATCCGCGGAATCAAAGCCACGAGGATGTTGGGATCTGGGATCCCGCCCAAGACCTTATAGAAATCAAAACAAGCAGAAAAACACACCCACACACAAGGAGACACAATATTTTACGTGGTTCGGCCCAATGCCTACGTCCACGGGAGAGTAACCGATTATCACTATACCAATGAGGAGATTACAGAAAGATTACAATAGAGGAGGAGCTCACACTCTCCTCACTCAGCCACTCACCCGTCTCCCTCGCTCACACCGAGGGAGACGGTCTCTCCGCCTCACATCTCTCACTCTCTTTGTTGTCTCACGGTTTGCTCACATTTTGCTCTCTCCTCTCAACCTCCATTTATAGGTGAGGGAGTAGGTGGGAGAGCCTTTGGGCAGCCTCCATCCTTGACTCTTCAAGATGGTTGGTGGCCTTCCATTGTTGACCAAGGTGTGTTCCCATGGAAGAGCATCACCTCTTTCACATGGGGTGAATTCAACAGAGGAGTGGAGAGAAAAGCAAGGAACTTTTGTGGACAACTTCTTCAGTGAGGTTAACCAGGTTTTGGTTGTAACAAATCTCATCTTAGATCTTATAACTCTTTATTCATAATGGATTGTTAGTTGGCTGTGTACCCATTGTTTTTCACCTCGAGGAGAAATCTTCATGGTGTGTTTGGTTGGAGGATTTGGGGAGGGATTTGGAAAGGGAAAGGGAAAAGGTGTGTGAAACTATGTGAAATTTAGGCATGTTTTATTCATATTTCACCTACCTTTTCCATTTCCCTTTCCAAATCCCTCCTCAAATCCCTCAACCAAACACAACATCAAGGTTTTCCATGATAAAATTTCATGTGTCCTAGATAACAATAAGCATAAGACCTTAAAGAGCTTAGAGTTCATTATGAAATGTTTCATATTTATTTTCTATGCAATTGATGTGAAGATACCTATTGATTAATTGATCATATCTTGATAAGGAAACTTAAATATCAATTAGCTTAAAATTTGGCAGCCATCTTTAGGAGTTTGACCTATTCACCTCATTTATGCACAAACTTGTCAATCTCCACTATTCCAAATTCATCTAAATCATCACCATCAGGAATTTGAGTAGAATGGTCATATCCACATTTTCATATTAGAAATGTCTTAAGGCAGAGCAGATAACTAGGATCGCAGAGGTGAATTCAGAAGCCCTAATGCTTGTTTGAAACAAAGATACTTCGATTTCAAACCACCTTAATGATAGTTTCCAGTCAATAGCATAGGCTTATGCTCAACTCTGTTAGCGAGCAAAAAGTTTTGAATAAGATGCAGCTACTCAGTAACTCAAGCTTCAAATGCACATGAATGTTCTTTTTCTTTCCACGGCCATGACAATAACAGGTTGCCATTGAAGAATATGACGGGCCTTGAGTTTTCAGGGGCCTAAGCGAAACAAAAACGGAATCCTATATTCACAAAGAAAAAAAAAAATACCCTATTTCGTATCACTACATACCAAAATAGATATCAAAATGTATTCATACCAAAAAAAAAAGAACCCCAAAATTAGGAAAACTTTATTTAATTAAAATGTATTGGATATGTATTGAATTAATTGTTGTTTATTGAATATATTGTTTATGAGTGTGGTTGCGCTGTTGTTTATTGAATATGTTGTGTATAAATGTGATTGAGATTGAATTAATTGTTTATTCTACTAAAATCTGATAAACAAGAAAAGTTAAAAAAAAATTATGGCAATTTTATTTATTCCACTAAAATCTGATAAAGAAAGAAAATTAAAAAAAAAATTAGGGGCCCTATTTTGGGCTACTAACATTTTGTATATGTATGTAGTGTTTCTCATTCAAGGGCCATCAACAGTTTGTATATATTTTAATTTCAATTGGGCCAAACCACATTTATAAACAAATATGGGCTCAATAGAATATTTTTGGGGCCTTTAGATTGGTCCTAAAACAACTAAAATAATTTGGACCTATTTATATTTGTACTATACTATAATACTTTTCTAAATTTGAAGCCCTATTTTAGGTCAGTTTTTGGGAGACTAAGGCATAGGCCTCAATGGCCTTAGCCCAGGACCTGTTCAGAATATGTGTGTGTATATATTTTTGAAAGCATAAAAATGATGTTGAGGTGCATATAGCGACATATAAAACAATCAAAATAGATTCACATGTTCTAGGAAAAGTTAGGGAAAGGTTGGCCCTCAATGCACTTTCGTTCTCAGCTTCGTCCACTAGAGGTTGAAAGCCACCAAGAAGTTCAAACCTAATATTTTGCAATTACATCTTTTAAAATATATTCACAAACTTATACAAAACTGAGGGCCTTAGCCTTAAGTAACTGTAGCAAATGGAAAGGAAATCACACTCTAATTAGTATTATATTTCACAGAAGAAGCGTGGATTGGACTTTTAGTTTCATTGGTCTTCCTAATCCAATAATATCAAATAAGCACAGAAAAATTATAGTTCTTTCTTCTTTTCAATGTTGTGAACCACCAAATCAAAGACTTCTTTCCAAACATGATAAAAAAAATAATAAAATAAATGCCTTACTCCTTGTTTGCCAAAGGTGTGATGATGGTGTTGATAAGTGTATTTCCCCTCTCAGCCAATAGTGAAAAATTATAAAAAATTGAAAATATGTACGAAAGAAAGAGGAATTTCAAACATAATTGCAGGTTAAATTGCTTTATTAATTCACACAAAATTTTCCCCCTCATCACCTATGAGATGGAAAATTTAAATTGACCACGCCATCATGATTCACAAGCTCAAGCAGCTAGCTGCACATGGCAACAATTGCCTACAGGTCAAAAACAGCAAAGATTAATTTATTTATTTATTTTCATATGTTTCACTTACATGGAGTCTTCTACTTACCCCATGTACCCATGTCCATTGGATATGACATGGGTAAAGGAATGGGTATCTGTACACAATTTAGACCCTCAGATTCTCTAATTTTATATGACAGTTTGAAGAAAAGGCACTCACTTTTGCTAGTAAAGAAACATTTCTAGTATGTTACACGAATGGGTGATATAAATTTCATATTTTCCCTAAATCTCATTTAAATTGAAGTAAATTTCTAAATAATTCATATTTTATGTAAGAATATTATACAATATGCGATATATATACATGTTTAAGGCATGTCTCCGTCCTATACCCAACTTTTGGATACATATCTCAATATCCTAATATTTTGGTTTAGGAAGATATGATGCTTGCATACACTCGCACTTGGTACTCGTACCCTAGTCCATGTAACACACCAAAGCAGACTATTATACAATATTAAGAGCACAAACAAACATTCTTAATAATCTATGCACATAGATTTAACACAAATAACCAAATATAAAATAAACTGAAGCTACATACTCATAGACATTAAAATTAACTCTACTCTTGCAAGGGCATTATGTTACATAATATTAAAATAGTAAGGAATAAGGCTTTCAGCCTTAGTAAATTCATTTATCAAGGAATATTATGTGCAATGAGCTATAGACAGTTGTAGTGCCAAACCTGGAGGTCTGTTAATTTAACTCCTGCAGCAACAAAAACAAGAAGTTGCTTCTCTGACAGTAGTGGTCTCAATTGCAAGGCCACTTCCTTAATTGCAAAGCCATGAAACAGCATAATGACAATGGTAAATAGAGAATTATATGAAAATTGCTATACATAATATACATAGGAATAGGCTATCCAGAAGAGGACTTTAAAAATAATTTTATTGCATGAGAAGCTAAAGAGAAGTGGTCCCATATAAGGAGCTCCCTCAAATGATTGAAAAAATTCACCATTTGCCTACTACACCAAATCAACAATGTTATAAACATGCATATGTATAAAAATTTAATGTTAATTTATTGGTACTTTTTTTTTCACAATTAGTAGAAGATGGCAATAATCTCCATAGGAGAGACAAAACAATGTAGCAATGTCAGGAGAAAAACATGCATGTAGATTCCACTAATAGGTGATTTATTCCTTTTTGCTTACTATGTACACTAACTGCTAATGTTTCACAGAAAAGCCATGCAAGGAAATAAATGACTTTTTATTGGGTTTTCAAGAATATCTTAGTGATTTAATGTTCCCTAGAGTCATTTTTATTTGGAGACATCATTAGTCCTATACATATATGTATATTGCTCAGATCAGTATCAGTGGGCAGCAAAGCTACATCAACTTCTTAAGTGCAAAGAATTTTTCAGATCCATGGGCCACTCTCTTTGTGTTACTCTTTTACATGCATATAAATAGTATAAATCAACATTAATGGGAAAGGGAGGGGCATCAACATGTGAAGAGCAAAGAATTTTCTAAATCCATCGAGGGACCATGGCCCCACCTGCCACCCTGGCCATATTGCATATGAGAAGATCTAAAACTTTCAAAAATTTCATGTTGTTCTTATCCAAGATTGCACATGAACTTATGAAGTTACAAAGCATTATGAGAAATCTCCTTATGTCATCCAAGTTTGTACATGAACTTACAAAGCACTCCAAGGAATCTCATTATGTTCTCATCCAAGTTTCTGATGAACTTAGGAAAACAATATGTGATAAAGGTGGTTGTTTTCATGAACTAGTTGGGCCAACGTTTGTGTTCTCCACCTATGTTGTAAACATCCACAATATGCTATTTGAGTGAGTGGGAGATGTACTATTGTACCTGTTGGAAAATGGGTTGGGTTTAGAACCCAGATCCAACTAGATCGCCCGTGATGGCATGACCCAGTTAGGAGAGATTTAGATAATAATAGATTTTATTGGTTATTTGAAACTTGAATAAAGGATGTAGCACTCCAAATTTCTAGCCCAAATGATAATAAAACAATTATAGCTCTTTCAAGGAAAACTGAATATAAATCTCCAAACTTACATTACATGATGCAATAGTTCTTCATGTAACAATACATTAATCCAATAACAAGTAAAAAAACAAATAAATACCCCCAAGGGTTTACAAGTTTTCAAGGCTTGAGCCTGGTTACACAAAATGATTATTCAAACCTACACACATACAGCCCTTGGCTTACACCCAGAGTCACAGCAAAATGAGAGTCTCGTACTCTCAACACACATTTCCTCACCTTTAGTTAGGCAGCATCACCAGATCTTTTTCTGCACAAAAATCCCGTAGGGTGAGCATAATGCCCAATAGGAAATCCTTAACAAAGTATATACATTTTATACAAGTCTCAAGAGATGAAATGCACATGCCATGCTATGCCTCTTTTTGAAGATAAATCACATTTTCATTTTTTGAAAACCATCATACTCAATGATGTCATGCAATTTCAATTGTTCAAAACTTCACAATTTATTTCAAGGGCGGAAAATATGACTCTGGTAATCCCTAGGTCGGTGTCTGCAAGTAGACTATACAAGTACTACCAAATTGTCATTTTTACCGGTATTAATCGGAAGGCTCGACACCTATCCACACAGGTTTTCGGTCTTTCACCCCGGACTCTCAGGCCAACTTATTCAATATCATCTACACCACCTATCAAGACTTACCAACGTATTTACCCCAAAACTATTTCATGAAAATTGTTTCTCAACATTCTTTTCTCAATGCAAGTTTTCAAATCAACTTTCAAAGTTTAATGTAATTAAATGAATTGTTATGCCAATAACACAAGATAAATATAAATACTTTTATTCCAATTCATCATCCAAGGAATAACACAATTCTCTCTTCTCAAGTATCCACAACAATTAGTCATTTCAAGACTATTTCAACATTTTGAACAATAATTTTCAAAATGAACAACAATTCTCATATTTCCCGAAATTCATCATTTATATAAATATAAATAAGAAATTTTTCAAACATCCATTTATTTTGACACACAAAATAAATACAGCAATATCATTCATGGATTTTCAATCTCTTTTTAAAAAATCTCCAAATTATAGGTTTTCTCACCAAAAGTATACAACTCAAATCCTTTGAAAGAAAACTTTCCAAAATCATATTTTCTTCAATCAATGAAGATCAAAACTCATAAGATCATTTTAAAAAAACAAGAGACAAACCCACTTTCAAAACCGCTCAACTTCTTGAATCAACAATCAATTTTCAAAACTATCGAAAGATGATTTCGAAAATCATATAGATCTTGCAAATATATATATATATATATAACTCTAAGAAAATCCCTACCTCAAGTTTTGAAGAAGAAATGAGATGAAACCCCCAAAATCAACGGTGTCGAAACTCGATCTTCACCACACACAACGAAGCCCTCGAGAAGTTAACCAACTTTGATGAAGAACTTATGGCAGAACTCTAATGGATCTTGAGAAATCAAAGTTTTGATCCAATTTGGCATAGGAAAATGTAGAGAGAATGGAGAAGAAAGGGTTTTGAGAGAGGGAGAGATATACAAAAGTGATATGAAATATCAGATTCATTAACTGAGATAACATGGTCCGCTCGAGCGTGGAAAGCCCCGCTCAAGCATCAAATACACTTTCCCAGTACTTTTTGCAGATAGGTCAAACTTCTAGAACCAAACATTCTCCGCCAGGGCGCTACCCTTGGACCCCTGCAAGCTAACCGGGCAGCTCGATCCCCGACATACTCAATGAAGTGGCAAAACTGGGATCGCTACAACTTTCCCCCCTTAAAGAATTTCATCCCCGAAATTTCAAATCAAATTACCCAAACAAAGGGTTTCTAGTAATCAAAATCACGCTATTTCATTTTCAAATCACAATACTAACTCTCAACCAAATTCCACCGTTTCCTCCATGGTTATCTCATTAACAACAACCTCCCAAATACGCATAAACATGAAATTTTCCAAAAAGTAATGGCAACTCTAAACAACCTTATACTTAAAACAACAACGCACATATCAATATGTGGTTAACAACTTTAAATATGTTCCCCTCAACATTAGGGAATATTACAAAGAAAAGCAACTTAAGCATTTTCAAATAAATCCGGATATTTGGTGCGGACTTCCGCCTCCCGTTCCCACGTCGCTTCTTCAACCCCATGGTGTCTCCACAACACCTTTTCCAACGGTATAGTTTTGCCTCGTAGCACTTGCTCCCTGGTATCTAATATTTGAACCGGTCGTTCTTCGTAAGAGGCATCCTCATCTACCTCCAAGTCAGCCCAATCAAGCACATAAGAAGGGTCGGATTCATACTTCCTAAGCATAGCTACATGAAATACGTTGTGAACTCTCGAAAGTTGTGGCAGTAAACCTAACCGGTATGCCACTTCCCCAATTCACTCAAGATCTCGAAAGGCCCAATGAACCTTGGAGATAATTTACCACTCTTACCAATAATCATCAAACCCCGCCTTGGTGAGATTTTTAGAAACACATGGTCACCAACTTCAAAAGATAAAGGTCGTCTCCTCTTATCGGCATACCTTTTTTGTCAGCTTTGGGCCGTAACTAACCTCTCCCGAATGAGAACAACTTTCTTGGTTGTCTCTCTAACAATTTTCGGACCCAGTAACGGTTATCACCCACTTCGGCCCAACAAACCAGTGATCTACATGGTCGGCCATACAAGGCCTTAAATGGTGCCATCCCAATACTAACTTGGTAACTATTGTTGTAAGCAAACTCAATCAATGGTAAGTGTCTTTCCCAAGGCCCCTTAAAATCAAGGACACAAGCTCTAAGCATGTCCTCCAAAATCTAAATGGTACGTTCCGACTGTCCATCGGTTTGAGGATGATAAGCGGCGCTAAGAGTCAACTTAGTTCCCAACGCTTCTTGAAGGCTTTGCCATAACTGAGGATCCCTATCCGACACAATAGTCACACGGACTCCATAAAGTCAAACTATCTCTCTAATGCATAACTCTGCCAAGCGTTCAACTGAGTTGCTGGTGCACATTGGAATGAAATGGGTAGACTTAGTCAACCTATCAATAATCACCCAAACGGCGTCATTGCCTCGTTATATTCTAGGAAGCCCAGCTACAAAATCCATGGTAACATGCACCCATTTCCACTCGGCTATCGGTAAGGGTTATAACAAACTCACTAGTCTTTGGTGTTCAGCCTTCACTTGTTGACAAGTATGGCACTTTCGATACAAATAAAGCGACATCTCATTTCATGCCTCTCCACCAAAACTGATAACTAAGATTATGATACATTTTAGTGCCTCCCGAGTGTACCGCAAGGCGTAAGTGATGGAACTCCCGAAGTACTTCCTCTCTACAAGATTCTGGTACAAGCAAACGGTCTAGGTAACGTACACTCAGATCCGAGTGAACATTCAAACCTTTCTCTTCCTTTCCATTGGAAATCTTAACACGAATTGATTTCATATCACGGTCTTCTCATTGTGCCTCTATGACCTTACTAACCAAGGTAGGTTGAGCATTCAAAGTAAACAAGGTAGCACTCTCTCCGGATTCACCCAAGTGCAAATCAAACTTGCTAATAATATCTAGCATATCACATTCTCGAATGACCACACTTGCCAAACTACTCACAGATTTTTGACTCAAAGCATCGGCCACCACATTGGCCTTCCCTGGATGATAGTGTAACTCAAAGTCATAATCCTCCATAAATTCCATCCACATCCGTTGTCGTAAATTCAAGTCTTTTTGAAAAACAAATACTTTAGACTCTTATGATCGGAGAAAA